ATATTAACAAACCAGCATTGGTAATTGAAATATTTACACATAATGGCTGAAAGAAACTTCCCTTCCCTTCCCTTCCTTCCCTACGTCCCTTCCATTACCCTCCCTTCCCTTCATCTGTCCCGTTCCATTCCCTCCCTTCCCTCCCTTCCCTTCCCTTCCCTTCCCTTCCCTTCCCTTCCCTTCCCTTCCCTTCCCTTCCCTTCCCTTCCCTTCCCTTCCCTTCCCTTCCCTTCCCTTCCTTCCCTTCCCTTCCCTTCCCTTCCCTTCCCTTCCCTTCCCTTCCCTTCCCTTCCCGAGCGCATTCTTGATCTTCTTTTTGAACTTATCAGATAAAGGAAGAAGAATAAATGACATGAAAAGAGAAACCCTGGGCAGGGGAGTGCACACAAAATGTCCCAGTGACCTACAATCCCTTACCACAGGCACTGTGTTGAAATAAGTGACCATACAGCATATATCCGGAAAAGTGACATTTTAAATGTATGACACAGAGGGGTGAAGATTGCTCAGTAGCAGAAATTAAACACCTCCAAGGGCAACACTCTTCCATCCTCCTTCAGAGGAGCAGAGCTGCCATTAACTTCAGAGGCAGCAGTGTGTGCTTTGAACCAGGAGCTACATGCAACTGGTGCCAGAGAAGCCACCAGAGAGTTTTAGTAGAGATCTGTGGTGTCTTGGAGCATCTTTCCCCGTATAGTCTGGCTTAACTTCCCGAAGTTAATTCCGAAGTTAATATAATCAAAGCTCATGATGTGTTACAGATTGCCAAAGATTTTTTTCTCTGTGTTAATACAAATAATTCAAATAAGAGACTGAAGCAACCTAATGCCAAGCCCCTTGGTTGCTGGCTCACGTAGTTGTTCCACAGCTGCAAAGAGCCCTTGGTTGGTGTTGAGAGTTATTGGAGGAGCAGTGTGAAACCCCCTGGCCATCAGCACACGTGAGCTATTTCTGCTGCCAATCTGAACCCATCTTCATTTGTCTTCGAACTCTTAACTCCTCATTCGGATTCCTTTAGGGAATCACAGAGCTGTGCATGCACCAGGCTGAAAAGCGGTGCCTGCCCTAGGAGTTAAACACACGTATTTCCAAAAGCAGCAGGCTTCAGTCAGCTCCGAGCCTCCTTGTTGCATGTGGTGCCACGAAAGCATTATGGTAATTCTGAGCACTGAACCATTTAAAATCTATTTTAATTGATTCCTGGCTATTTTGCGATTCCAGCATATTGTTAAATGGGTGGTAGATAAAAGTAGCAGGAGGTAACATCTTCTTTTGTATTGCTGCAGGGAGAGCATGCCTAAAATACAGCATTAAATTCTGGGTACCTCATTGCCAGAGAGATGCAGACAAATTGGAAGGAATTCATAGAAGAGCAATAAAAATGATTAAGGGTCTGAAGAGACTGAGTTATGAGCGAAGATTAAAGGGACTTAATATGTATCACTTGGCTAAATGATGACTAAGAGGGAAATGATACCCTTCAACAAGTACTTGGAGGGCATAAATATCACAAATAAAAAGGAATAATTTAGGGTGCTGAAGGACATACAGCTTGGGATAAAAGGATGGTGTTAGGCAAAGGGAAACTGGCTCTGAGTACACATCATTAAATCTAACAGACCATTTGTGGGAAAACGAATTCTGACACATTTATCTAATCCTGTTTCAGTATCAATTATTGCCTGTTCTTGGAAAAATCCCGTTGTCTTCAATTAAAGACTGAGAAAGGACTCCCAGATGCAATCCAGGGATTTATGAACCAAGAAGCAGTGGCAAGTTGGGGAAAGTGTAAAAAAAATAAATGTTCGGAGTTATTTGAAGGTTGATATACCCTTTCCCCAGCACCAAAGGATGTATAAAGACATGAAATCAGTGATCTGAATTTTAAGAATGTGTCTGTTGCCAGGATACCACGGGGAAAATAAAAGTAATAATGCATTTCTTTACAACGTACACATTCCATTAATTCCAGCGAGAACTGTACCAACACTTTAATGGGAAAACAGTCCACGAAGAAGAATAAATCCTTCTCTAATTTTCTACTAGCACCAACTTAGAGCTCCGAATCTGGCCTCAGAGCTGGAAGAAGTGCTGGAAGAGTCTCCACAAGCCTGACAGCGCTGCAGCCCTAACCCCAGGCTGTCTTAGAAAGCAGCCGTGCATTCAACAGGACTGAATGTCTGCGTGAAATTAGGTTTTGCCGTGCCTCTGCCCAGCAAAGCGGATCAGCGGCATAGCAGTGTAATGCCTAAAAGTGCTACACACGCTGTATATAGCACCTTGTGGTTTTTTGGACTTACTGCATGGAAACTCCCTGGAACCATTCAGAGGTCCCCACGCAGGACATGATTTGCTTTCCAGCTCCCCCTTTGCTTCCCTGTGCTGAACCTGCTGCTTCGGAGGGACTTGGCTTTTCTGTTTGCTCCTCGCAGCTCACAGCACAAGGGGGACAGAAGCTCTTTGGGGACGTTATTCTCTTTTCCTGTCATATCCAAAATCATGGTTCTGGTGAGATAAGATTTAATCTGAGAGCATTAGTTTATGCTGGTACCCTGTGGAAAAATCCCTTGAGAAAGCCTTTGGAAAGCTGGGCCTGGGGATGGGAGGTCATGGGAAAAGGACACCCCAAAAGCAGCAGGAGTGGGAAGCAAAAGTTTCCGGGGTTGTTGTGGGGAATGGACTTCTTCCTCCAGTGTTTGAGGGTGGGAGAGAGTGAACGCCAAGCAGACACATCAGCGTTTCTGCCCTCGTTGTGAGAATAGCCTCAAGATGCTGATGCTGTAGCAGGCGCACAGAGGAAAAGCAGTCCATTTCCCTGGATTAGCATCCCATTACAGCTGTGTTCTGAGGACACAATCTGATTTGTTTATCCTGGAGTTAACTCTGACTGTAAACGTGCTGTTCTGCTCCTGTCAAACCCAGCCACTAGACCTCTTCACCAGGGGTCTGCCCCAAACAGTGATCAGTAGCAATAAAGCAGGACTCTCATGCATTAAAAAATCACCTTCTGTATTCATGCATCTGTGCTCCCAGGTTTCTTTTTTCTTTTTTCTTTTTTTTCTTTTTTTTTTCTTTTCACTTGATGACTTGATAAGCCTGTTTAGAGCTTACAAATATGTTCAAACATGTTTTAAAAGCAGGATGATCCTTTCTATGTTGCAGAGTGAACAGAAATCGCATCTACAGAGGTGGGGGTCAGAAGCTTTTTTTTTTCTGAAAGCCAATATAGTCAGGGACAATTTTCCTATGATTGCTCTGTTTAATTCCTTCATTTCTTTCCTCTTTAAACATCTTGAATCATGAGAATTAAATCCCAACCTTAGTTTTGAAGATTATTTGTTTTGACTGCTTTTTTTTTTCTTTTCTTTTTTTTTTTTTTTTTCTGACTGTAATTGTCCACAATAACACAATTCATTGCTGGAGAGTGATTTAATATGTCAAAACATTTTGGATTTCCCTCCCCGTCTCACTGGGTAATGTTGAAGACAGTTTGCAAGTGCCTGTGAGATGAGTAGACAGAAACTTTATGGACTGTCTGGAAGCTACTGCTTGTGGATACTGCATGAAGATATTTGCTCCAGCTGATGGTTGGTGGGGAGTGGGGTGAGCAGCTCATTCCCCAGGGAATGAAGATCTTGTTTTCAGGACAGTTTCTTTGATTCTTTTTCTTAAATATGTAGAAAGGAAGGAAGGGAGTATAATTATGCAGAAATCTGGCTAAGCATAATTGCTATTCAGAGCATCCCATGAGGCCTAAAAAGGCTTTGGAGGGCAGCATATTTAACCCAGAGCAGAAACACTGAATATGTGTGAATATTTCAGAAGTCCCAGGTTTCACCCAGTCAGCTGTTTTATTCCGAGAGGATTTTAAGGTGGGAAATTGGTGAGGTTCAGACAGGACCTTAGCTGAGGCTCTCTGATCCATCCAGAGCTCACATACACTACAATGTAGGGAACTTGTGGATGCGTGTTTTTAAGTCAGTCTCTGAGTTATCTGTATGTGATCTTGCAGGTGTATTTGAATTCTGTTTGGCTCCCGGTCACAGCTGTAGTTTGGAAGCTGTTTTGCATTCTACTTTTAAGTTATATATGGTTTCACTTCAAAAGGGATTCCCATGATTTTTTCTCTGAGATGCTGCCGAAAGCTATAACTAAAGTTGGATTTAGGAAGGGAAAATCTTCTAAAACCCAGCATTTTCATACTTAGCTCGTGCTTTGTTACCTCGACATGTTAGCAGTGAAGTCACTGAGCACTACCCATGCAGACTGAAACCCGACAGTGGCTGAAACCCTTAGTGGTAAGAAAGGGGTACAGAGAGCTTTCCTCCTGCGGTGTGCTAACACCCAGACCTTGGCTAGGGCAGGCACAGCTGCACAACTTCAGATAAGGCGAGCCCTGCGAGCGTGGCACCCAGCTCTGCCGTGGCACCGCAGGAGCAAGCAGATGTTGTGCGGATGGTTTACTAAAGCAGACTGCACGTTCAGATAAAGACATCTACTTATGTCTCCACGGTGGGGTCCTCTTGTCGGAGGATGAACCGTGCGCTATCGGAGCGGTGGATTTTGCCTTCCTAGCCAGCGTTTGTGCTCTTGCTGTTACAAACCTGAAGCTGGGCTGCGGGACCCGCTCGGGATCCTCGGGTCTCGCTCCTCCTGCCCCCACTCCGCGATTGGGGCCGCCGCCTTCCTCGGTGGGACACCCTTCCTGGCGGTGGGACAGGCGGGATCCCCGCAGCATCCCCCAGGGAGAGGCCTTGCCGGGAGCTCCCAGCGAGCTGAGGCTGCAGCCGATGCTGCGCCGCTGCCGGCGGGGGCGATGCCCAGCGGGACCCGGAGCCGGCTGGCTGCGGGTGTGTGTGTGCGGTGCTTTTGGGGGTGTGTGCGGTGCTTCTGGGGGTGTGTGCGCTGGGGGGGCACAGCCGGAGCCCCCCCCACCCCAGCGGAGCCGAGCACGCCTCCTCCCGGGCTGCGCAGCGCGGCCGGGGAGCGGCGCGGGGCTGCTCCCTCCCTCCCTTCCCCTTCCTCCTCTTCCTCCTCCTCCTCCTTCTCCTCCTCCTCCTCCTCCTCCTTCCCCCCGCAGGGGCGCGGATGGGAGGACGAGCAGAGCGGCGGTGCGCGCCTCCCGGCGCGGTGCGGAGCCGAGGTAAGGCTGAGCCCAGCTGAGCCCAGCTGAGCCAGGCTGAGCCGCTCCGGGGGGGGGCTCCCCGACCGCCTGCTCCCCAAGTTTGGAGGCAGCAGCACTTTGCGGGAAGTTGGGCGGCACCGCGGGGCTTCCACGGGGACACCTCGGGTTGCTCCGCTTTGCTCCGAGGGGAAGGTTGGCGAGCCCCCATTCTCCCGGGGATATTTGGGGGGGCACGAGGGGCTGCACCCCCGGGGCTCGGCCGGTGGGGAGAGGTGTCCCCCCTAAGCGTGTCCCCGCGGTGACAAAGAGAGCGCCGCTCGCTGTCACCCCGCAGGGAGCTGCGCCCTGGAGAGGCAGCAGGCGCCCGGCGAGCGGCTCTCCCGGAGAGCTGCACCCAATTCCCGCACCGCATCCTCCCTAGAATTAAGCCCCGGAGGGATGTTGCCACTCGCCGCTGCTGATTTTTCGGTGAAAAGGGGCATTTCTTCAACGCGAGCCGTTGGCCGGTAAAAATAGCTTCGTGGCATGCGTTTGCTGAGAATGCAGTCAAGGTTGGGTGGCGGGTTATTATGGTTAGGCTCTTAAGCAACAGTCCCCTCGCTGAACTTTGGTGGTGTCGTACATGGTGAGTTGGTGGCTTTTTGTTGTCGTTGTTCCTTCCTGTGCTGCCTCATTGTGATACTACAGCCGTACCCTGCGGTGAAGTCCCTTACTTGGTCACAGCCAGTTTTGTAGGTTAATGGGATAGACGGCAACATTGCTAGGGTGCTGCATCTCAACACCCACCAAACTTTCCAATATGGAAATGTATTTCTGTCTTATTCCATGGTTTTGGGCCTAAAGACGTCTTTGTATTGATTTGCTTGCATATGACATAATAAATGTTTCACTTCTTGAATTGTGTTGGCCGGAAAAAACACTCAGAAAACGTTCTCATCTGAAGAATAAACACGTGCCTTTTGCGTTTAGTGACCGAGGAAAGAGCAGAGCAGTTAGCTGAGCAGATTACAGGTTAAACCCCAAAGTTTGCTGGAGCTAGTTGTGAAGGGTAAATATTTGTAAGGTTTGAATGAAAATTGTATGTGCTCATTTGTGTAAAAAACTGCTTTATTGAACAGCATCATACTTGATACTAACTGGGGACTACTAGGTCTCTGCCAAAAAGGGAAGCTTACCTTAGTGAGAGGTCACAGCATCTATAGGATTTATATGTATTCTATAGGATTTACACATATATACTTATATTTATGCTATTTATATAAAGTGATGTAAGTATTTGATATATAATGAAACACACACATATATACATACTCACTCATAAGCAGTAAATAGTAATGAAATAGATATCTTAAGGTTTTCCTTGTCACTGATCAAAATGTTGTCACACATCTCTTGGCCTGAGAGCTTCTCTGCTGCTGGTGCCATTTCACTCTTGGGCATTGAGTCAAAGTATTCATCTGGCTCTTCTTATGCCAAAAGGAAGAAAATCAATTTGAATGCAGAAAAGAAGAAACTACTTCTATGAAGAGTTAGTAGTGAAACTAATCTTTTTTATTTTTATTTTTTTTCCTTTAAACGGCATTTATATCCTATGTCTGTAAGTGCAGTCAACATGCAGTTCTGAAATCAATAACAAAATAGTTTCATGGTTCAAATTTTGTAACAGGAAGACTAATCTCAAATTCAGAGTGCTTTATTTGAGGTTTTGGAACAGGAACATGATGAAACAGCGGAGATTTGCATGACAAAACACTTAATTCCACTAATGCAGTGGAAGACAGTAATGGATTTTATCTTCTTTGCTAAACAAAAAGTAGTTATCTGGAAACTACAAATGAGCAGGTTGAAGCAGACTCTCATATTTGGGTTATTTCATGTAGCTGAAGTGGAAGGATAAGTTATATAATCCACTAGCAGTATTAGCAAGGATGGGATTATAAAGGCATAATCAAAGAGAGGTAAATGAGATACTGCTTATATTTTAACACTATATTAACAGCACAGCCGTTGTGCTATTTGTGTCCAGAAGTAGCATAAGTTTGGAGTTGAATTATTTCTTACTTTTTTATTCTTTTTTTTTTTTTTTTTTTTTTTACAAAATATTGCTATATAGTTACATGTCTAAAATTGGCGTATTTGTTAGAAGGAGACTGGTAACTATAAAATTATAGTCTGATGTACACAGCAAATTTTTATGGTGAGAAAAACAATGAAAGTAGCTAGAAATCATAGGCCCTCTGGCCAAACTAAATACACTTGTGCAAAAATAATCATGAACTGTGACGAAGAATTTTAATAATAGAGATTGACAAGTCATTCTTTTGCTATTTAACCTCTGTGCTAAAGTCCTTTGAGTGCCTGCAAACACCTCATAACAGTCTTGAAACTTGAAGTGTCACCGAAAGTGGTTTTTTTCTTTTTGTGGCCTGATAACGTGCAACCTGTGGCAGGAGCTCTATGAGAACTGGGACTTTCAGTGGACAGAGATGATGTTTGTAGCCCAGGTGATTTCAGTGGGCATTGTATGTGTTCTTAAACATGGACTGTGTACTGAAATCTCTCTCTAAGTGTTTATTTATACTTAAGGTCAAGTTGCTAGGTGGATGACAGCAAACTTCCAAAGTTCATGGGGCTATTGTTAAACATGATGCTACACCTCCCATCACCCAATAGGGATCTTTTTCTCTAAATTCCTCTGCTGCCTGGTAAGGGGATCCTTCACATTATTAAATACTTTTCCATGACTGAGTACTTCCCCACATGCTCAAAGGAGCAAAATTTTATGAAACTGTAGTTCAGCATTGTGTTACCTTTACATTTTGTGTTTTAAAAGTTGTTCAGATGCTCATTGTCCAAAAAAAAAAGATGTTCGTCATCTCTTTCTCTAAAGACAAACAAGCAGCAGCAGGCTGATTTGGTCTAAATTACAACAATTTAGGAAGTTGGAACATCCAGCTGTGCTCTTTCAGTACAGATACATCATTCAGGTGAAGAGAAACATGACTTAAATAGGTACCAATATACTCCCTCTGCCTCCGAAGTCTTAATTACTCTTGCAGTTACTATGTCCTTAAAGGCTGTATATCCTGCCATTAAAAACTGCAAGGAAATGTGCTGTTAAATCATTCAGCACTGCTCTGGAAACTCAGGTGATGTGAATTGCTGTTTCCAACATCTTGGAGAGTTTTTAGGAGCCTCCCCTAGCTTGAGCTGAGTTCCTTAATTGCTTTCTTGAGGTTTCAGCTCCTCCCTCGCCCCACCTATTTTTCTCTTTACCTTGCACAGGGAGGGATAACTGAGTTTCCACCACACTCCTTGGCTGGACTTATGTTACTCAGCTGGAAGAACCCAAAGTGCAGTGGAAAAACAAGGTAGATTTCCAATAAGAGAGCATTTTTTTTTAGTGCCTTTCCCCACAAATTAGTTTTTCTTATTTATTTATGTTTCTAGCAGAGTGCACTGTTTTTCTTACTGAAGAACTGCAGAGCCAGATTTGAGTCTAAATACAGCTATTCACATGAGGGGATGGGATCTGTGAGCTCCTACAAGCTCTTATCTCAGAGCAGCCTGAATTACACTGATCTTTCCACTGTTACTGCAATTTCACTAAAATTGACTGGCTATGTACAACATTGTTGACCCACTCTCTTAAAGATACGTTGGGCTGTATGTGCATCTAACAGAAAGCGTGTTGTACAGTCGGTCACACTGGCTGTTTGTCTGTACGACCTTTTCATTTGTGTTTCCCTGTCCGAAGGACGTGATTACAATTCTGCCCCGGTTGCTCGGTTTGATTTTTACATGCGAGGGAGACAGGAAAGCTACCGAGGAGCTGGAGTGCAGCAGACGCGCTGCAAAGGGAGCTCTGTAATCCTTTGATTACACAGCTGTGCCCGACATGCCACTAAACAGCACTTTAGGGGCAAGCAGTTAATGTAGCTTTTCCATGGAATATTTATTAATTTATGTTACACCTGGCTTCCAGCAGCTGTTGGACGTGGCTTGCAAGCACTGGTTTTAAGGAGCGTGGAACCCTCCCGAAGAGGATACAACCAGGTGAAGTGCTTGATGCCTAGCGAGAAGAAACAAAATAAACCCAAGTCCAATTGGGTAGTGGCGGCTGATGGCAATGATGGGGCAGCTGTGACTGTGATGAGAGATGAGACGCGATGGTGGATGTGAACAGGAGCCCGTGGTAGGCTCTGGCTGAATGACCTCTCTGTGTCCTCCCATGGCAGGGCACTGAGGTTGTGGACTTGCCAACGCCAACTCACAGCCCTGCTGCTTCCCATTCCTAGATCCAGCTTCTCAGTGTTCCCACAGTGGCTTGAACTACCTGAAATGTGTGTGCTCCAAGTCTCTGAAGTGGAATGTCTGCTGGTTTCCTAGTGAGCTTGCCAGAACTCAGGTAGTACCTGTAAGCTAACCCAGCTCCATCAGCATTTTTGGAACTTGGAGCAGCCCTTGCTTGCTTGGGTTGCAGAAAGTGGCTAAGGTCACCACAGTGGCATAGAGTGTGGGAGGAAGTTGGCTGCCAAGGTGTCTGCTCTCTTTGTAATGGCTTTACTTTGAAATGAACTCATTCGTGTGTTGAAATGTGGTTTTGGGTAGTAGGGAAATGACAAAGGCCTTGGAATTTCACCCTAAGATGGAAGTGAAGCTAGAAAGGCATCATATCTAATAGGATGTCCACAGTTTCATTAAAAACAAGGCCCTTGCCCTTCCCCAGACTGAAATTCCTCCACAGAGATTGCTTTTGGCAGCTCTGATGCAAGTGCAACTTTGGGCTTTCAATCTAACCCCTACAGGCAATCTAAAATGCAGGAGCCAGTGTCATGTCCTAGATTACAGACCCCTAAACCATGCATTTTGAGTGTAATTCCTGCTGGTTTTTTTATACAGAAATAAGTCCATTTTGAGGCTTTACTTGATAGGATTGAAGAATAGGTAGTACTGAATCATGAGATCCCTAAAATTTAGTTATAAATGTTCTTTTTTATACCAAGAACTACTAAATT